GAGGGGAGCTATGGGGGGGGAAGGAGGAACAACTGTAATAATCTGAACAATAATGACTTATTTTTTTAAAAAAATCTCTGCAAACAAAGAGGCTTGAAAAGTACAAATACGGGAGACTTCCTGTATGTGGTGCTCAGAGATTTGGAAGAGACCCCTCCCTCTGGGCTGCCACAATAAACGACTCCTAATTAATTGGCTTATTAAGGCGTCTTGTATCTCATTTGCTGATTTACGATACAACACCTTCCTCTCTGAAATCAATACAAATATATATTTTAAAAAACTTAACTGATTGAGACTCTCTTTGACTCATATAACTAATAAGTCTGAAAGAAGTTATACAAAGTTATACAAAACTGGGGTAAGACTCACGGCCACTGAGTCCATGCCCAGGACTCATTCTCTTACATGATCCTGCTTCAGGAATTTAAAAACAAAGGGACAGAGGTATCAATTAATGCCAATTCATGTTTAGAGATAGCAAAAAAATATAAATATATTTGATCACACTGGTGTAGGAGTTGGGGGAAGTGAAAGAGAATGCATGAGACTTGAGGCTTTCACAGCAGAAGAGTGAACTACAAACAGGGTAAACCCAGAGAAATCCAAACCAAGACATGTTCTAATTAAACTTCTAAAAGATAATCAAAGAAAACACCTTCAAAGCAGCCAGAGAAAAACAATATCTTATCTACAGAGGAGGTAATTAAAATGACAACAGATTCTCGTCAGACACCATCCAGGCTGGAAGGAACTGGTACAGTATTTCTCAACTACTTAGAGAAGTGTCAACCCGGAATCCTATACCCCAAACTGGATTATACCCCAAAATATCTTTCAGGATACAGAGAGAAATGAAGACACTTTTAAATGAAGGAAAACTAAGAGTTTGTTGCTAGTTGGCCTATCCTAAAAGAATGGCTAAAGGAAGTTTTCCAAAGAAGGAAAATATAAAAGAAAAAAAAGGCCTTCATACATCAGGAAGAACTCAGTATGCAAAACTATTAGTAAATACAATAGGCTTTCTTCCTCTTCTTGAATTTTCTAAAGTATGTTTGATGGTTAAAAGTAAAATATAACACTATCGGGAAGTGCCCTGGGCCGCCGCCTCAGTCCTGGCTGCGGCTGTGGGCCCTGCCGGTTACATAACTGGTGGCCCCACTTCCGACTC